CTGCAACCTCTGCCTCCCAGGTTCAGGCGATTCTCCTGCCTCAGCCTGCTGAGTAGCTGGGATTACAGATGCATGCCACCGTGCCCAGCTAATTTTTGTAGTTTTAGTAGAGACGGGTTTTCACCATGTTGGTCAGGCTGATATCAAACTCGTGACCTCGTGATCCACCCACCTTGGCCTCCCAAAGTGCTGGGATTTCAGGCGTGAGCCACCACACCTGGCCCAAAGAGACTTTTTAAAAAGTGATGAGCAAATATTAGTAAGGTTTCAAAAGTACAGAAGTACAAAAGCACTACCTTTGGTTGATTTACACATAGTTGCATTGTATATATACTAAAAAATAGAGAAGTTTTTTTTTTAAGACAATTAGTTTCAGATAATTCTAAACAACTTTTTCATCCATACCAGTAACAAATAGGACATTTGCAAGTTATTGTTCAGGACTGTCCCATGTCTAATCATCTGACCCTTGCTCATTAAGTACCAGTAGTGCCCCCCGATCACTATGACAATGAAAAATAGTCCTACAAATTTCCAAGGTGGCCCCTGAGGGAAGTACCACCTCCCTTTAGGACCATTACTGTATGAACTCTACAGGTACTTCTGCACTCAACATTTTGTAAAACTAACCTGTCAACATTCCATATTTTAGATTCAGTTCAGGAAAAAATGCTTATATTATACTATTCATCTACAGGATATCATCATTTTGTTCTCTCATTACTGTTTCATCTTCCTTTAAAGTTATCTGTATTTGCCAGATGAATACTGCTAATCCAAATATGTCATAATCATCAGATACATATATTGAGAGCTAATCTTTCATAAGTGCTCTGTATAACATAGTTATGCTAAAAGAAGTAATTTTAAAACATTCATTGCAAGACCTGATATTTTTTATGTTTTGTGGGCTTTTAATATAGGTATGGCAAATTCCTCAATCTCTTAAAAGATGGTGCAGAAAATGATCTTACCTTGGTTTTAAAGCATTGTGAGAGATTCCTGAAACAGCAGCAAACTTCCATAAAATCTTCTCTTCGTATCCTTTTTGAGTAGATTCACAATATTTAATTTTTTTCACACGTTTTTCATGATTCTTTGATGGTATACCTGGACACATTTATAGTAAAATAGTACATTGAGCTATATTAGTGATTTGTTATGGTATATTCTTACAGTATTTTATTCTGTATTTTAAATATGAATTTTGTTAAATTGAGTTGTAATCATTATATTTAGTCTTACTCATTGAATCTTAAACTGAATAAAGTGATTAGAATGTATTTTCAGACATATCTAAGAATATTTAAAAACTAGGTTTCATAAACTCAGAATAAGAATGTCTGCTTTTTTGTTTAACATATTCATTGTATTTTATTTATAGAATTTTAATATTTTGTCTTACAAAATATTGTGAAGTTTTCTTAACTTAGTTTTTCAGTCTGCCTGCAAGGGAATTATACTGGCCATGACTGGTTTGTATCTTCTCTGTTCATGATAATGTTGGGAGACAAAGAAAAAACATTCCAATTTCTTCGTCAATTCTCCAGGCTTCTGACTTCTGCTTTCCTTTGGTTGCCAAGACTACATATTTCTGTAAGACTTTAATCTGTTTTTAAAAAAGGGTTTGAAATTTTAAGAGACATTATACTTACATTCACTGGGGTGTTATTGTATTTGAAGGACTTTGTCATAAATTATACTCATTTTTCTACTTGAATGTTTTTTGACTGATTCTCTTTGATTATGTAGATGTGACATTTTCTCAAATACTTGGTGTCTTACCTAATAGTAACTGAATGATTTATATTAGAAGCATTTTCATGAAGTAGAAACATGGTAATGAAATAAAAATGATAGTTATATCAGTTAAATTCTGCACGTAAAAAGAGAACTATTGAATTGGTGTTTTGTATCATTGCTTGGTTAGAAAGAATCTCTGGCTGATTATGGTATAAGAAAATCATTTATTAGGAAGATATTGTAACTATTTTCTATAGAATAAGAGAATCACTCATTTTATGTATATTTTGGAAATCTATACTGAGTGTTTTTTAAAGTATTGTAATGTATTTTAAAAGATTGTACTAATCTTATGCAATCTCAGAGGTTACTTTAGAGGTAAGTATATCCCTCAATCAATTTATAATGTTTATGTTTATTTTATTTATTTATAGGCTGTTGTTAAGATTTCCAACTAGGGGAAACTGCCAAACATATCAGCTATGCTAATGTTTCTCAAACCTTTTCCATGACATGTTGCATTTGGACAGTGAAATCACATGGCAGTCAAGGATAAACTAAGGGGATTGTCGAGTATCTATGTGGAGATGAAAATATTCATTAGGTGTTTTTTACAATATATATTTGTGATAAGGAATATAAAATTAATTCATCATGGAATTCATTAAATATTAAAATTTTATAATGTTATGCTTCAAGTAGCTATGTACAGTTACTTAAAAAGATCATCCAGTAATTGGTCTTCACCATAATGAGAAATTTTCCTCCCATGAATAGAGGGAAACAAATGGCAAAAAAAGTATGCACTGGTTTTTCCCCAATCAATGAAACTATTTTGCTGCTGTTAACCAGAATTTGAGTAATTCTGTTCCTTTAAACTGTAGTTGAAGATTTTAAAAAACCTAACAGCCTTTTCACTCCTTCATTTTCAGATGTAGTGTTGAAAATCTTTTGATAATGGGTATGGATTTCGTGTCCAATCATTCATTTTCCTGTCAAATATTTTAAAGCAATATCTACATTCCACTAGTCTTAACAGTTCTGCCTTTAGTGTTCAGATTATGACACCATCTAAACATCACCAGTGAATCATATTGAACCATAATTTTCTAAAGTTCTATTTATACTTTGAGCCTATAAAATAGTACATTATTTTTTTTCATAGCATCGATGATCTTGTGTTCTGATAGCATTTCTTTCAGTAAAGCTGAAAACAAGCAGGACTCTAGCAGCTTGAATTTTATTTGACTTACCATTTTCATAGCATCACTGAATATGGAATATATGAATGGAAGGGAGTGACACATTACTGGCTCAGGGTTTTCAGAATGATCTCTTGATGTAAAGCCTTGACACCTTTCTACTGATGCAGCTATACTGTCAGTGAAGACTTAATGCAGTGCCTTCCATAGCATCATTTTTTCTTTTCAATTACAAATATATCAAGTTGAATTTTATTACCAGTAGTTTGTTTTGATGCTTCTTTGTAAAACAAATGACATGCTGTTAAGATTCCTCTGCAGTAATTCTATCTAGAACTGTTAGCTAAGTGCTGCTACTAATGTCTTACATTTATATGACAGTATAAATGTTTCTGACTTACAAACTTTTGAATTGCTATTTCCCCTATGTCACTTGACTTGATAGTGCATTCAGTAAGTCTTAATATATTATTTAAAAGTGATACCTTTTCCATTTCATCTGTTCCGTTGTCTCAAACATTGTGGTGATAGTTTCTATGCAACTTGATAATATGAACAAATATGCAACATGGTGACAGACACTTTGGCTTTAGCTGTTAATTAGTACAAACTTGTCTACCTTCTTTAACTCAAACTCACATTATTGTAATCAACCTAAAAAGAAATCAGCCTATTTCCTCAATTCCACTTACCTCAACCTTATTACCCTGTCCTATTTTTTAACATTTTTATAGCCTATATCAAGTCCTAATATTTATTTATCTATACACTTAATGTAAGTTCTTTGAAAAGAGTTTTCTGTTTTGTTCATAGATGTGTCCCAAACTATTGGCCCATAGTAATCACTCAATAAATGTATGTTGAGTGTGCAAATTTATATATATA